ATTACATTACGTGAGAAATGATGTATAAGGGCAATGCCAACTTTCTAGTCGCTAGTACGGATAGTTGCCGATGCAAAATGTATGTACAGTCCAAACAAGAACAGGTTTTGCTGTCGATGCTCGCTATGCAATTTCCCGTCATCGTTTCATAATATGTTATGGCATGTTATACTTAATTTGCATATGGAGGAAAAATGTGCGTACCTTCTTAAATAGATATGGATAAATTAACCTATTCCTGTCAAATCCTTTGAAGGTTATCCTTTTGGGGAATCGGACACATCACACGACTTCTTTTATGAAACCTACGATTCGATTTATACAGAACAAATAATTGTACAGAGCGTTCATGAAATTCGTTCTTAAATTTAATTACACCCAGATTAATTATTTTTATATTTGTATAGACCTTTATAAATAGAATTTAGAAATATACCTATAATGTTTATAACAGATATTAAGAAACATACAGAGTGTAAGGCACATCGTAACGAATACTGAAATAGTGTATTCAGTCCATCATTCTGAGTCGAAAATCATTGTAACCTTCTGCCGGAAAAAGCATCTTTTTTTTTGGCACATTCATATTTCTGGCAAAAAATTATGAAAAATGATATCACAATGAGTAAACAGAAAAATTTACCTAAAATAATTCAATAAATACCGCGTACGGTCAAAAATTGCAGTGTAATTAATCTAACAGCCGAAGCGCGCGGGGCTTCCCCCCCGGCCCGCCATCTTGTGTTAGTGTGCGTAGACTATTTGCACGGAATACAAATATAGTTATAACATTAAAATTTGTTCAATATCTACGGGAAATGACATTGACTTTTGACAGCTGATTGCATAAAACGTTTAATTTTCCGTCAGAAAATTCCAATGATTTACGACTCAGAGTGATGGTCTGAATACACAATTTCAGTATTCGTTACGACGTCCCTTACACCCTTTATAATGTTTATCGGCAGTTGGTTGTCATAGTATAGGCTCTGTCTAGTTTGAAGTCAGGCGAATCAGTGTGTGAAATGTCTCAAGTTATTATTATAACTTGTTTTCTAGTGTTCGAATTTCGAAAAAAAAACACTCTAATCCAGTAACGTATAACTAATGTATTTAAGTTATATATATTATGACGGCATTTATGACGGCTAAATCCTTCGTGGCCGAACCGCAGTGAAACCACAGACCAACACACATCTTTACTGATAAGATCACTAAACTCACGTTCTCTATGTGTGCTTAGCTTCTTATTATAGTTGTTAAGGATTTAACGTTTACCTTAGTTTTTGACCTCTAAACAGTGATGGAGTTTTACCTTATAAAATAGAGAATATGGCTATGCGGTTGCGCTATTTTCTGTAATTGTGTTTCTGTAATGTTTTATTTAGTTAGCTAGTCTTGTATATACTCGTAGATATAAGTAATAAAACTTCAATTCTAGTACATAAAGAAAACAGTACATCATGTACCACGTAATGTTCATCAATTGCAGTTTCCGACTCCGACTTGTAAAAATATCTGAAAAGATTTACTTGCAGAAATAAATATCATTTCAATTTACTTACTTACAAACTTCAGTTTGAAAGTGATATTTCGCACGAACTACAGAGGTGTTAGATACTACATAGATATGGCGATGTGTTAATTGTACCTAGCGGTTATAGAGCAACAATGTATGTTTAATGTTCATAACTTTATTATGACACAGCGGTACTTTGAATGTGTTGCTAAGCGTCGGTCGCTTAAATCCAGTACATATGCTTTATTATCTTGAAATTGAAGCTTTCGTCAATGGTGGTCGTATAATTTAAGGATTATTCTCGTCTGCATTTTGGGATATCTGATTTATTAAAAAGGTATCACAGAGTCACATTCTATTATTTACGATTTATTATTATAGTCACCATATTCTTCCTAATTTTATTCGGAGTCGGCACGCCGTTTGAGCCCCTGTAACCATCCTTGAGAATGTAACCATTTTCAGACAGGACCAAGAAAGAGAGTAAATTGGTGAGAAGGACACGAATAGCAAGAAGGAAGGAAGGAGCTAGGGAAAGAAATATAAGAGGTCTCGAATTGGGAATGAGTCTGCAGTAAATGAAAGTTGTTTAAGTAAATGGCTCTCTGTGCCTTTCGGCGTTCCACAGGGCTCATCATTGGGTCCGTTATTGTTTAATTTATTCACCAATGATATTGGCTCCTGCTTTCTACATTCACAAATTCCTAATGTGGGTAAACACGCTATGTGAAAATCTTTAGGCAAATTGAAACTTAAAACGACTGACTTCTTTTTCAGCGGGATCCCTCGAGTTTCGATCAATACTACTGTCTGACTAAAACGTATCAGAGTGGTGACGGACTAAGAATAATGAGTGTCAGCGCCCCTTTTTATGCTGCGTAGTATGTTCCCTTAGTCAGTTTCTATGCCAGAGTCGACTAAGAGAACATACTACGCAGGACAATAGCACTGCAAAGGCCAGAGTGGTATAGTAGGCCAAAACCTCCTTTCTAAGGAGAGGCCTATCTCAGCAGTTTCCAAATTAAGGCTGTTGATGATGATGAATAAAACTTGTCATAACTGATGGCTGTGAGCAGTTGTTAACTCACAGACATACCTACTTCCTTCAGTGTATAATAAAATATGAACTAAATTATACATTTACTGTGTTAGTATTCTTCTATTATAAAACAACAGCCGTAAACTTTGTTTTGGCACTTAAATGTATGAAATATTGACTATTTCTTTTGTTTTTATTTCCCCTGCTGTTTTTTAAAGACGCGGCACTGAAAGTCAGACACTATTAATATTTGCTATTATTTATTTCTGGTGGAATAAAAATCCATAGGCGCTAAAATGGAATAGAAATTTTATTTTCGATAGCGCGTAATATTTTGTGTTCATGTTAGGAGTCGTTTCTTGTTTTGAGGGTTTGAGAGAGAAATGACCGAATACTACTTATCTCCAGTTATCAAAAGAGAAGCATTATTATAATAATATATGTATATGACTACCTACCTAGCTATACCCCTCCCACGCGACGCTGTAGCACATTGAAATTGCATTGATGAGAAATGAGGAACGAAGCAAACGCAAAAGTTGGATAAAAACAATCTCTGAAGCGGTTTGTTTATTATGTCAAAATTTTAATTCAATCGGTGCAGTATTCTTTGAGTTTGTGAAGCATACACAAACCAACTTAACTTTTTTATAAATTTAGATTAGAATTTTTAATAACCATTTACTGAGCATCACATGTATCTGACCTTGAAACTATGCTGATAATATATTTGGTACATTTGATAACTATGACGTAAGAGGTAATGTATAGTCAAAAGAAACAAACTTCTCTAAAGTTCCAAAAACCAAATTTTATGAAAAAAAAAAACAAAATATAATAAATGTAACAAATAACGGACTTTCTGATTTTGTATTCATGTTGAGAAATGGAACACTAAAATATTATATTGTAAAACTGCAACATTAGTGTAATGCATTTGAATGTGTTTATATTTTTAAGGCAGATTTATTAACGAAGACAAAAAAAGATTATCAAACAGTACGCTAATCTATTTTCCTACGACTTGGGGTCTAACATAGGCAATGATAGAATTGCTGAGTGTTGGTACTTCTTCATAGATTTATTGAGTACTAGGCATGCTTTTTAAGTTCTGTCGTTTCCATATTTCCCGGCAATTTTGAATTTGGAACTGTTCTATATTCGAAAAACAGTTGAAAGTATTAGGATTAATGCTATTGTTTAGTCACAGCGTCGATTGGAATCTGTCAGGTTACGTACAAAAATGAATCTTTCTAAGGCAAATGTTCGTGCAATAATTTTCTACAACTTTAGAAGAGGCCTAACACGGCTTCAGTTTTTTGAAGAGCTAACATCTGCGTTCAGTGATGAAACCCCATGTCTGCGGACTGTCGAACGCTGGTATTTTAAATTCCAGCGTTGACATACTAGTGTTAGTGACAAATCTCGCGAAGGACGCCCAAAATCCGCCTTCACTGAAGATAACATCATTGCTGTGAGACAACTAATTCTCGAAGAACGTCATGTGACGTATCGATAGATAAAGGCTCTATTAGGCTTCTCAGGGACAACCATTCAGAAGATCTTGCATGAAGCGCTTGGTGTGAGAAAGCTAGTTTGCCGTTGGATACCGCATCTGCTTTCCAACGATCACAAGGCGGCCCACGTCAGAAAATATCTTCGTGGTCAAATGTTCCAGTCCGGTGAAGAAGCAGACGACGCTTTCAAGTCAGCCATTTTGAACACCCCCACTTTAGAGTGCAATAAATGTTATAATAACTGGTTTCAGTGAATGGAAAAGTGTAGGTATTAAGCTACGTGGTGAACACTTAAATGAAAAACAATAAAAAGTACTATAAGGTTCTAGTTGTTTTTTTCTTCAAACGACAAAACTTAAAAGGCATGCCTCGTAATGTATTATTTTCTAACAAATGTCGTCGTTCTTAGTCATTGAATCGATGGTTAAACCACCGTGCGGCCGAGTGGATTTGGTTTCGGCGGCTAAATTGAGACAATCATGAGATTCGTTATTTAATGGAGCGTAGTGCCCACTAACATAGTGTCTAGTTTCTGTGATCATTGTAATACAATTGTTAGATTATTTGCTAACGAGTCTATTTTTTAGTGCATGACATTCTAAATTAGCTTTTATACGCAGCATTATCTCTCCGTCTACAATGATTAAAAAATGCAAGTACATAAATTACCAGAAGTGAATCTCATGCTGCGTCCACCTTAGAGCATTAAACCAACATATTATGATGTAGGTACCTATATGATCGTATCGCATTAAATCTGATCATAAAAATGTAAATGAGGCAGAAACTAAATGGAGGAAAGTTAATAAAATAATAGGAGAAGACATTTCTGCATGGACTGAGAGGTTTAAATGCATTCGTGTAGACCCAAAGTTTTGCAAAGGCAGGAAATCGTGTCAAGTTGATGGTAAGTAAAATCGAATAGTCACGCAATATGGATAATTTGACCAATCAGCCATGATATTTCGAAAAGCAAAAGAGTTGGGTTGAGGGAAACGTCAGTGATGGTGAGCGCCAAAGAGGCCGAGGGGGTCGGGTAGAGGAAAGGAGGGCTTAAGTGAACACAGCTCTTTTGCGTACCATCTGACGTACTATCGAGAGTACCGTCATAGTAAATCGGCCGTAACCCGTGTCCAGGTGCGAGCTCGCTGCGACGAATGTCATGTAATGACCAAGTTACAGGTTTAAGTAGGATGCATAACAGCATCTCACTTGAACTCATTTTTATTTAGGTACTATTGAAAACAGTTATTTAGAGATAAAACTTGAACTATTCTAGACATAATAATAAGGCTTATTTTTTGTACTGTGTGGAACATGTTAAAAATTATCTTTGCTTCCAACATTACTATTTACATTCTGAACGATAAATCGAGACAGACTCGTAGTGGGTGGCTATTGTATTATAGAAAGCGTTACCTTTCTTTTTAAGTACTTTAATCGTTATGTATATACATTAAAGTCTGGTATCACCCTTTAGAAAACCAGAAGCACTTACTCTGAGAGAGCTCAAAACGAGAGATGCCGCTTGAAGAACATCATCTGCCAGGACTTGTTTACGGTACCCATGTTATTGCAAATATTTCGTAATAAGAACGTACAGTACGTGCTGTGGTTGTTGTTTATTAAGAGTGTTTTTTCGATAACTAGAAGCTAATTTGTATTCAGACAAGTAAGTATACTTTATCTTTTACGTGAAATACCAATGAGGCGTGAGGCCAATCTCCTTGTAATTTAATTTAAAATATTAATCAAAGAAAGAACATTTTTGATATTGAATGCCCACAGTTATAATCCTATCAGCCCTTTATCTTACGAAAATTAGCCGTTATCCGTAAAATTTTCAAGTTAAGCTATAAAAGTATTTAATAATAAGAATAAAAAATTTAACGCTTTCAAAATAAATTCTTATATTCTATTTATTACCCTCTAAATATTTGACTAAACTTAAAATAAAGATTTGTCAATTTGTCAATGTCATCAATTTAAATTGTAGTATTTAAAACCTGGAGACTTTGTACAGAGAAATTCAAGCGTTTTCTAAACTTGTTTAATAAAACCCGCTTTACAGTCAGAACCATTAAAATATGGCTGTAACAAACAAAAATTCGTTGCAGTGAGGCTTAACAGTGAGTCATTTAGATCGTTGAACCCTTACCGCCGCCATCTTAGCGCCCGCACAGCCCTCAAGAACCTTGTCGTACACCCCCTACAAGCCAGTTAGGTCTTTGGAAAAATATACCTAGAACTAAGCGACTAAACATAATTTTCCTCAATATCTATTGTCAAAGGTCAATTTTGATAACGTTTTTTTTTTATGTTAGAAGGGGGAGACGAGCAGACGGGTCACCTGATGGAAAGTGACCATCGCCGCACATGAACGTCTGCAACTTGGAAGCACAAACGGGTGGTCGGCCTCGGCCTAGGAAGGAGTACGCTCTTTTCTTGAAGGTTTGAAGGTCGTATCGGTCCGGAAATACGGCAGACGATAACTTACGTGTAGATGTCACAAACAATATGGGATCCAAATCTATAATTGTATTTAACTTTATTTTCATTAATCCCTAACAAAGGTAATCGACCTCCAAAAATAAATAAATGCTAATTTTGAAAAGCAGATTTTGTTTGTTCATTCGCTCTTAATTACTGCAGTTTTATTTTTAACTTCGAAACTTACTTACTGACTATTATTTTTGTATGTATATTTAAAGGTTAAAATAACTTTAACGGTAAGACCTGCTTTTTCAATCCTTAGTGGAACTGGATATCTTTACAGCACATTCAATATTAACGAGTAAATCGGTTCTAGTTTCAAAGAAGGCAAGGTTTTGAATCGTCTTCTTTTTCAGAGTCAGTTAATAAAGGTGACGTCTGTGGTGATTTCGGATTTTATGGGTACAATTTAAACTCATAAAATTTATGTGTTTTAGAGAACAACTATGCAATACGATACACCTTTTCTATTGTGTTAGGTACTTTATTAATATCTAAAAATTACCATTTCAGCTTATCACTGGAACTAAGACTAGACGAATCTTAAAAGAAAGAATGATTATAAGCTCGTTTATGCTATGACACTTAGGAGAGAAGCAGAGATCATGTAAACGCGTGTGGAACAGCTAATAAATAACTATATTTATCTTTCAAATAATATTTATAATATCAATACTCACTACTCGTAGTACAGTCGTTTTCTACTTCGTGAGCATTGAAAGTGTTAGAAATAGTTTCTTGCGGTTTTTACATCTAATTTTAAAGGAAGGTTATTGGCCCGAGGTAAAATAAATGAAGAAATAACATCGCAACAGATGAGTCAATCTAAACATGTATAAAATGTTATTTACAAGTAATTTATTTGGACAAAAAGTCAATACGAACATAGAATTGGACCTATGATTACTCGACCGAAAGAGCAATTGTGTACAACCAAGTTGGGTTACATTCGCACGTGTTCCGCCTGAAGATAAATTGTGTCTATAATGTCACTGTCGCCTTACCAGCTACTCATAATAATAAACTCAAGAAAAGCATAAACCGCTGCTTAGAAGTGCCTTCTGTTAGCTTTATTTGCTTTGATTACCAGAGGTTCAACCACCACTCCCTTCCTGCTATTGATGGAATAAAATGCTGGGGGGAGAACCGCAACGCATTTATGTCTCTTGTGTTGCAGGTGTAAATGGGCAGCGGTAATCGCTAATCAAAACATCTGCTCTCTCTCTCCCTCTATTCCATAAAAAAAAACATTATACTACATGTATCTATTAAGAGTTTAAACCTTATTTTAAGCAAATTCTATATATTTAACTCATGGCCTTTATACAATCTTAATACATTTTATAGTATTGTAAACTGCTACAATCATTGTAAATTCAACATAAGAGGGTTTTGTGTTGCGTCACCTGACCTCTATAAAACAACAATTGTACATTTGCTGTTATGCGGAAAACACTATGTGGACTTAAATTTTCTCAATGAATATTGACTAAGTCACATAACTCGTGTATTTATTACAAGTATTGTTCAAATACTTGATAAAGTCAGCTGCGTTTCGATAATTTTAGACCAATAAATATGTACCTATATACACATATATACAAAAAAATGCGTCCCTTAGGGTTACATTCGTTTTCTTCTCAATATCTTCAATTTCAAAATCTTTTCAATATATTTACCATTCAAAGATTAAATTACTTGATCCATTAAAGGACTCACAATCACACATAGTCATTTTTAACAGCTTTGGTAACTAACTAAAAAGACCTATTGTCAGAAACGAGCCGGAAAACATTTAAAAGTTACATTACGAAAAAAAAAAAAGAGAAGATTAAAGAACAATGTTGTTTAATATCTGACACTATTTTATTATTTTAAAATTTGAATTTTAGTCTTTAAAATATTACTAAGTAACAAAAAATGTGAATGTGTGTGTGTGAAATGTTACATATTAATAAAACTAATTTAATTTAATTCTAACTAATATTATGTTGGTATGAAATATTCTATCACATCTTGTAACAGAGACAAGATTGTGGCCTCGGTAGGGCAATGTCGAGCACTAGTATTGTCCAATCTGAAAGCTGGAACATTATGAATTTTTTAAATTATTTTGGAACATTATTAACTTTTTGTGGTTTCGCACTACACAAAAACAAATTATACTTTACGCCCTTGACCAGAGACAAAAATAATAAATAATTACTCTTATATCTATTTATATTGTTTACGTACTGGCAATTTACAGATACAGCAGTAAATTGTGGCAGCAAAAATTCGTCCAATATTTAAATATCATTCTGTCTTACCGCGACTTTCTAAATATATAATATAGACGTAGAAATGAAGCCATAAAATACCGTTTGCACAATCTTGTTAAGAACTGCAGAAACATACGTTATATCTCCTAGCTATTCGCTATTTAAATGTCATTCAATTTAGTCCTCTTTATTAAACGTCAAAATAAACCCCCTGCCTATCAAGCACCTATTTGGCTTGGCACCGACTTCAAACAGACTAGAAGGGACTATTGGTATTATAATGTTACCTGTTACATTGAGGGTACTTATTATAGTTTTTTACTTAGATTTGTATTTTTTTTTTAAAAGAGTTTATTTTACCATTTTTAGTGTAGGATATGTTTGTAATGAGTAGATAAGTACGATATTTAAAACACTACGTACCGTAATGTATAGTAACAAACTGTAGTTTGTTAGATTATATTAAATATTATATTAAATAACTGCTGGACATAGGCCTCTCCTTAGAAAGTTGACCCACACAAAATTTAAGAGTTTTTCCAGAACTATTTTAATAAATTAATTATAAAATTACTTACAAACGAAATGCGATGCCATCCATAGCAACAAAACGTCTATCCGAATTATTTTAACAAGATAGAATTTTGAAAATCGGTCCACAATTGACGGAGAAATCGCGTAACAAACCTACATAAAAAAAAAAATACAGACGAATTGAGAACCTCCTCTTTTGTGTTTTGGAAGTCAGTTAAAAATGATACGTTCTGAAAACAATTGTATGCATAAAGGTAAATATTTTTTTTTTAACCAAAGAAAACTCCCTACTTAATTTGCTAACATAAGAGACGTTATCTCTAAGTGTAGGTATACGTCATTCTACCGATTTGTAAGTCAAGTATTTTGAATTTTAACTATGTTGCCAATATATAAATATTTTGATGGTAAGTAGTCACTATAGGCAATTAACAACAAAGTTAAGAAAAAACGTTTTGATACATTTTTAAGTATATTTACTATGTGGTAAGGATTACTATCTGGTACGTAAAATTTACGCCGAAATATTTAATGTAAATAAGTCAGAATTTACACCTCTTTGATTTGTAAGAATCCTCAGTTACACTAGGAACTTAGATATTTTAACCTAACCTAAGGAATCAGCGATTGTATTACCTATAATCTTAACAGATTATTTCATGTAATAAATGAACTGTGCTGTACTGATTTTGATCGCACACAGATCCTTTCGGGCACACATGGTATTGCAGGAATTACCAAATAAGATTCCCTTAACGGATAGTCTTAAACTTCGAGAATATACCTTGTTCAAGTGTAAGTATTATTGAACAACCTTTGTACGTAAACGTTATAAAATAGATTACCTTCTAAGCTGAAAATTCAATTTCTAAAAAATGTACGTTTATATAAATTTACTTACAATTAACTAATCACTTGGTATTAATTTACTCAA